TATTTGCACTGTAGGTGGTTGCGTGGGTGGCTAAAATGTTGGGTGGCGTACATACTGTACAGACTGTTGCTTAGTTAATTTCTGGCCGGACAGCCTTTGTTTGCTAGCATGTCTGCTGACTAAGCCCTGGAACAGCTCCAGAAATGCCTTTCAATTTACAGACAGTCTAATGCCCGCCCCCTGTGGGTGTGGCGTCTACTTTGAGTGTGTGTGTCTAGTTTTTAAGTGCTGCAACACAAATAAATCACATTGTCGGGAATTTTTTTTTGCCTCTGCCGCGCCCAGGTATTGTCTGCGCCTTAGTGTATGCAATAAAATATTTTCAGCAGACATTTTAAGTGGCGGTTGCTGCAACTTGAGCCAAATGTAAGTCGACTTTGTGTGTGGCGTTCATATTTGATGGCCCAGCGTGCTTCATTAGCATTAACAAGCGCCACGCTTATGCAAACGCCCCACATGTGGGCATATTAATGCGCAGGTTAGGGCAACAACAACAGCATCTGTGTGTGTGCATATGTGCGTGTGTTTGTATGTGTGTGGCTTTGTTTGATTACAAAACTCATAAAGTCGTCATGAAATTCAAACAATGCGCTACGTGCATCGAATGCCAACAGCCGGCGGCAAAAGCAAGGACAATGCCAAACTGTAGACCCAGCCACGCCCACACGCCCATGCATAAACAACATTTTCGTTTGACCCAAACGAGTTAGAAACCAACAACCCGTGTGCAACCCCCGGTTCTCGCTCCCCATTCCTGTGCGACGACGTGTGAAGGCATCGCTCTTTAATATTTTTTCATTATTACAAACCCGTTTACGCCTGGCAACTGCCGCCCAGAACCTACGCAGCTAGTCTTGTGAATGTAATATAGAATTTGGGATCTCAAATCAGCTCAGAAGCATTAAAAGTGTATTTTGAGCTGCAAATAAATATGCGATAAATATGCCGGGCAAAAAGACGCACAAAACGATTTGTCAAAAGTGGTTTTTCACTTGTGGATTATGAATACTTTGCTTAAATTTGGCTGACAGCAGAAAATTATTGCACAATGATTAATATTTATTTGCGCTGGCCAACAACCAAGGCCCATAGCCGAATGGCAGTGGGCGTAAAATCGGGCGTGGTTACCACAGCAGCAGTCCCAGTTCGAACTCCAGTCCAAATCCAGGTCCTTTTTCACACAGTCACATCGAGTGACAACGTGCTGAATGTTTTTTTATTTTTTCATATACCCTGTAATCAGCAATGTTTCTTTAAGGGGCAAGCTGGAATTTTAAAGAAAAAAATAGTGTTGAGCTTAATTTAGCAGTAAAATCCCTCTGTCTAAGATAAAATAACTTAGCAATTTGTAAAGCTTGCAGGCCGATTTTATTTATTAACCATAAAATGAAACTTCATTCCGATTAGTAGAATAAAAAAAAGCCGAATCTAACCTAAGCTGAAAAATATTTTGGTTCAACTGATCTTATTGTTACTATTTGAAAATTTAGGAACTTTTCAATAATTAAAAATATATATAAAGAACTACATAATTTATGAATAGAAACATTTAAAATTTATTGATATATAAGTGCAACAGTTATTCTTAGGACAAATAGTTCAGTTAAAACTGCAAGAAATCATGAATTAAATGATATAAGAGTTAAAAATCGAATTGGTTAATGCTGGCCTATAGTCTTTATTCATATGTATCTCCGATGTTTGAATCACTTTTAATTCAACCAAAGAGTAACTGCAAGTCGCGCCCTTGCGACTTTAGGTTTCTTATGTTTTTCTGCGCAAAAGGCATTTAATTTAGATTTATGCGCCGCACGGAACTGTGACAGGCTGGCAGCCTGTACAAAACATAAACACAGTTACTTTTCGAGCGAGTGAAATAATGATATCGCCAGGCCACGAGCCGGAGCCAGAGCCAGAGTCGAAGTTGGAGTCGGAGCCAATCCGAGCCCCGGGTCGAGGCAGGGTCTTAGCCACAGCGTTTGCTTTTGCTCGGCTGCTTGTTTGCTCGACCGCTGATAACTTATCGAACAATAAAATAGCCTTAGGCCTTGCTAGCAGACAGAGACAGTAACGGGGACGGGAACTGGACCATAAGTCGACACAAGGCAAATAAGGATATGCGCAAATAAAATAGCAATAAATCAAAATCTCTGACGATCTGACGATGTGGCTGGCCCCAGCGATTAAGGCCTCATAGTTGTGATTTCTGATGGTGTCTCCTGCTGCCACTTCTAATGGTGTTCCATTCTCCATAAATAAATCGTCTGTGGGTCGAAAGTGATTTTGATTGTCATTTGCTTGGCTCAAGCTGCCGCTGCCATCGTCGCTGCTACTGCTGTCAGTCCTTCTTGGTTGCTAGGTAATTTTCAATTTATGCGGCTTGGCAGTCGCGTTTTCCTTTGCTGTTGTTGTTGCCGTCCATAATTTATGCCAATTGTCAGCCAAGCTGCATGCATGACGGCCAAAAATCAATGCAAGTGCGGAAGCGCCCTCCCTCATTCTCTACACCGCCTGCCACTGTCAATAAGGAAACTTCATTATAAATTATCCGGCTGACATTTGCAGCGGGCGGAGCAGAAGGCGAACGCATAAGAAACAGCAGATTTAAGGCAAAAAGCATTTCCCTTCAGTTTTAACGCAACTGAAGCTTTTACCCACACACAAACAGAGGGACACACACACCGGAGATTGTTTCAATCTGCTTAAGCGTTCAGTCAAGCGACCTGCCACGAGGCAATCAGCTGTGCAACCAGCTGTTTTATAAGCTGCAAATCCCACTTCTTGTCCTCCTCGTGCTTATCCTGATGACTCCTGAATGGCCATTAAAAATGATTGTTGTGTTAAAAATGTTGTATAATTGAGCGGAAGCTGACGTTGACTAGCATTATGCTGTTGGGGCGTAGCAAAAGCCATATTAATAGAAAGCAAACATAAACTCGTTAAGCTGAGAAGCTCTATGTGAAATATTCATTCACCCGCATGCAGCTCTTCAATAGAAAACTGAAGCAATAGCCGGACTCAACTCAACCGGATTTGACCACAATTAGGCGCAATTAGTTTTGTAAATAGCCAGAGCATCTCTATAAGTAATCCCCTAATGCTATTACCATCGTTATGCTGCCATATTAGCCAAAGGGCGAGGTGCACGGATCGTCAATTAAGGCACCGTCCACGTTTTATGGCGTCACTTTAAAATATATTAAAAAATAAGTAACAAAAAAATATGAAATAACATATATAAAAAAATTTGAAATGCGTAGCAGCAGGCGCACTCGACTGCTTTATTGGCACCAGCCAGCCGTAGAGCCAGAGAGCAGCTCGGGTTGGCTGCCTACACTGGACATTAGGTTTTGGGTTTTGGCCGAGGCCATTGATGACAGCGGGCACTAGACAAGGCCCAGTCGTAGCAGAGCATTATGCTCCAGCTTGTACATGATATGGCGTCATTAAATACACATTACCATGCCGCACGCTGCACGAGGTGAAGGGAAGCAGCGGAAGGGGAGTAGGGAGAACGATAAAGGCAACGGGCATCAGCGATACAATAACAGCAATAATAAGCAGCAACAGTCGCTCGAGTCAAGCGAGGCGAGTGGCTATTAAAAAGCGCCAGGGAAGATACACATGAAAGCACACACACACAAACATACCGATATACACACACCGACACACGCACAGTCACAGACAGTCACAAATTACAGCATTTCGACAGGCAACAAATCGAGGAGCACCACATTCCGTTGTGGCAATGTTGCCCGACGCCCGATTCCTGATGCCGTTCGATGGGAGACGACGGTGTCCAGTTTCAATTGTGCTCGTAAACGTGGCTCCAAATTGGCTCACAGCGAATAATTCATATAAAACACTTTCGCAACGAGCGCCGGCTTGCCATTAGCATCACGCTGTTACAACAGTCCAAGCCCCCTTCTCATCAGTTCACCTGGTGGTGCCCACGCTTTTGGTTCTGGTTACGCCCCATGTAACCCCACGATTGCATTTACAGCAAATTATTTATGGCTGCGGCAGACACGAACCGGAAGCGAATATGCGCTGCCAACTTCACGTCTATCAATATTTTATGAAACCCTGTCTGCAGGACAGCACAGGAGCCAGCAACGCGTCCCTCACAGCCGCAAACAAGGACACAGCTACTAGGACAAGGGTATCAGTATCGGCATCAGCTTACTTGTCGTCCTGCTGCCCGGCTGTCTGTCTCTCTCTCCCTCCCTTTCTCACTCGCTCTCTTCCGAGCCGCCTGACTGCCTGTCGATATCCGGTTAGATGAGTATCTAAATTGCCTTTACTGTTGATGAATTAGCGCCGGTTGCCGGCATCGCTCTTCACGTGGATGCGGCTGGATGAGCCAGAACCGTAGTCGGAGCCGGAGTGTAGGAGTGCCTGTGCCCGTTAGATAAGTGCCATCAATGCCAGGCTACCCAAAAGAAATTTCAATTTGCTCTGAATGATTATATAAATACCAGAGTATAGGCCGGCAACGTAGGCTGCCACCGGGATCCACAGTTTTTTATAATAGTTGAAGAAATAGAAAAATCATAAGTAGGAATAAAATTCATTTATTTCACACAATAAGATAAAAGAAAATGCCCACAAGGCAATGCGAAAATGTATAATAAAAAATAAAAGAGTAAAAAATCTTTGAATTATAAAATAATTTTATCAGTATTTCCTCTCTAATTAAATTATTTTTTATTTAAACCAATGGTAAACTTTTGTTACACGATAAAAATTATTTAAGTGCTTATGCTTAGATGCTTGTTGCTTTATTTAAAAGATATAGGATGACATAGAAATATGTATATACTATTTGAATGCCCGGACCAAAAGATATGAACCTGTTGAGTCTACATAGCAAAAGAAAGTTTGTGCAAAAAGAGAGAAGCGTGGTTTGCTTGGCATTGTTGAACTAATTTAGTGGAATATTTATTTCCCATGAATCCATTTCCTCACTCTAATGAAAGTTGAAAGTCATTTGAATATGTTTAACTAAGCATTTTGAGTCTTTTAGATTTTTATAATATAATATTTACAAAATTCACGTTGACCAGCAATGCTCTCGCGAAAGGAAATTGTGTCTATATTACTCCTGTTGACAGCGGTACGTTGCGACTGGCAGTCGAAAAGTATGTTAACCAAAGCATTATCCCTGACAGCTGATCTGCATATTGAATGCAGCTTTGTTTGGCAACATAATGCCCCTATCCACGAGCTATGAGCAGTTGGCTGAACAAACCATTAACGCGGGCACCGCCTACATTTGCATCCTGTACGCCCTGAGCACATGGGTATATCATTCGAACTACTCGGAGCCCCGGCGGCAAATACGTTATGTGGTGGGCTCTCATATGCTGTTAGTGATTCTAGCCCTTTATTATATTTAATGCCATTTTGTACCACCTCTGTCCCCATTCAGCTAATTGCAATGCTGATACTTTTGATTGCGGCCAACTTGACCGGGCTCGTAACGGTCATTCAAACGCTGTTCATATCCGACCTAAGGGACGCCTTGAGCACGAGGGATCTGTTCAGCTCGTTTGGTTATTTGTGTCGTACAGTGACAGCTGTGCTATTCGTGATAACACTTTTACTGCTGATAATTATTCTGATAATTGTCACTATAACCGCATTCAAGCATTCGTGGTCCATATCGAGCCGTCAGGATTCTAAGGAAGATCTGCCCTAACAAGGATATTCTGCAGCTGCCATTCGGCTAGCATAAATTGGTTTTCATGTAATGTCAAAAATTTTGTGTTGCTTGCGTGCCAAAAAGTATATAAATATTTTACTCGTAACCCAGACAGCGGCTCCACCAGGTAATGAAAGCGTGAAAAATATATATTCATGTATAAATATGTGTATATGTAAAAATGCATATAAATGCGGGTGACTCAGCCCTGATGTCTGGCAGGCGCCTCAAGCAACCGCTGCAACTGCTCTGATGATACCCTGGGCACATATATGACTGTGTGTCTGCGCGTGTGTGTTGGCTGCATTTTGTTCTTTTCTTTTTTTTTTTTTTGTATAATAAAAGCACGCAGACAGTGCAATTTTCCGAGCGAGACAAACAAGGTTAAGATACAGAACATCAACTTAAAGGCAGCCCAATCTTGTCAGGCGGAAAAGTTAAAGGCAAGTGGGCGTTGGGCTGGGATCTGTTAGGCGTTGGCCAATTACGCAAATGCTCGACTGGCTACGGAGTAGGGCACATTGGGGTGTTTTCCCATCAAATGTGACATTTGGCAGCAGCAGCAGCAGGGCTTACAGTAAAATTTCCAGTTAAGTTATTGCCGCGCGGAAAACTCACTCGAAAGTAATTTCAAATTTAATTGCGTATAATTTAGATGGGCAAAATGTTTGCGTGCGTTTAATTAACTGAAAAATAAAGCGAAAAAACAACAAACCAAATAAATAAAATGGACGGGAAATAAGCAGCAGTAGCAGAAACGTCAACAATAAAAACATCAGCTGCAAAATGTTTAATGTTAAATGCCAACTAATTAAATTTCGGGCCATGCCATGACATTCGATTCCGGATGTCGAATCGCAGAAACGCAGACCCGTAGATCCATTCAACTCGTGTACACAATTTATTGTTGCATTTAATGGCCAGCCCATGCGGTTGTCCTTGTGCTTTAATGCTTAACACTTTTATTGCGTATACGCAGTGTATTACGAGTCCAAATGCTATTTGTATGCAAATAACGAGCCTTTGCCTAGCAGCGTCTACAACATTCAAATGACACACAAAACCACAAACCAACTGACGGCTCGACATACGTGGTAGCAGGTGGTGGTGCATTGGCACATCCATCAAATGCCAAATGAAGCCAATCAAAACTAACAGTCGCCTGTTGCCAGCTGCTAACTGCCTTCACGCAACTTAACCAAACTACCTGATCCAAGTTAGTGTAAAAATGCATGCCATGGAAACTCAAAATATTTACAATTATGCTTCACTCATTAACACGATATAATAATTCCTTACATTTTCTCGTTGTGATAAGGAATTCGGTTAAATTTAAAATAAACGAGAAAGAAAGACTATCTTCGGCTCGCCGATAATCTAATACCCTTGCAGACCCAACCTTTTCATGATGCTTATTGTGTTTTGCCCGTATCTAAAAAGCACAGGGAAAAGAGTTAATGCCGAGGTTGGTCAAGATATCTTGATAAACAAAATGTTTTTTCATACAAAAACTCGCATAGAAACAGACAGACGGACAGACGGACATGGCTATATCGACTTGGCTGTTGATGCTGATGAAGAATATATACATATACTTAATGGGGTCGGAGATGTCTCCCTCTATGCGTTACACATTTCATGACAAAATTTTAATACCCTCTGCAAGGGTATAAAAAAAATAAGAGTATTTATGTGCATATGAGGAAATAATTTAATATTGAATTCAGCTATACATTACCTTTAATTTTCGATTGATTTTAATATTTATTATTGGTTATATATTAATGCATCGAAAGACTAAAGCGTACAGCTTCGAAGGATTGTGATACTTTTTAATGAGTGAAAATAAGTTCTTATTCCCAATTACTGCAATTAAAATATTGTGCAAATATTTTTCATATCTCATTACCATTTATATTATATGTGTTTATTTCTGAAGAGCAAGCGAAACTCTTTCAACTCTTTCACATTATTTTGCTTTAATAAAACAATACAAAATACACAGGAATACAATCTACTTAATCTATCTATCTCTGGGTCTGGAGTCTGCTTAATATCAATTATTAGAAGAAATTACCCGGCATTGCCTGTGTCAAAATATAATTTGATATACTTTAACATTTATTACTTCAAATTTTTGTATAGTTCGGGCCATGCATGATTATTTTGTTTATTAATAAGTCACATCAAAAGCCATCAAGTTCTTAACCTGGTGCTTCATAGCTAGAGGTCCCACACGGGCTATGGCTCCATTGTTTCCGCAGCATACTAAGAAACTTGCAGATAATTAATAAAGTCAATTTTTTATTTAAAAAGTCGATTATCAAACTACATGGAACTTGATGCTGCATGGGCTATCAGGAGGCTGGGGGATATATTTAAATAATTGAAAAGCTATAGTCGAGTACGCAGCCATTATCAGGGACAAGAATTTAATGATTATTTGCACGCACTGTTAATGTTGATGTTTTATTTATTTAAATGATGTAAAACGAGCACGAGATATGGGTCAATTATGTATGTGCAGCATGGATCGTTAAGGCTACCGATTCGACAATGCAATAACCATGGCCATTCAATGTGCGCTCAATTCTGACAAGGACAATGGGCACTCACACACACGCACTTTCGCGGGCACATGCAATTGGCAGCCGCAGCGCGTAAATTTGGGTTCAGCTCAAAGGGTCAACTGCAAGCACGACAGATGGAAATGCAAAATGAATCTGTGGCATTTGCCACATCCAGCACGTTGCAGTGGTTCATTGTACGCATAAATTACGCTGCCATATGTCAGACAGTGTCCGGATTTTTTCTGGCTTTCGGACCAACTTGGGCGGAGACCGTCAAGTGGCAGCGTGTGGGCTGCAATTTATGAGCAGGCGGCAGCCGCGTCTAATTGCCGCTGGCTTGAAGCCAAGTGACGGGCATAAATATACAGAACCCACGGTAAAGTCAAAACCCATACAAGTGCAACATAACTAAATGCAGTGCAACATGTTGCACAAACATCAATCAAGTGACAGGCGCGCTAAGGTGGCATCCGGCTAATCAATCATCAATCTTCCATCGATGAATGTGACAGGCGCCCTTGCAATCTTCTGTATTTAATAGAAAAAATGTCAATCGAAGTAGTTTTACTTTTTTTTCCACACATTTCTTTACGAACTCCACATTTGGGTTTGAGTCTATGCACCAGTGAGACGCAGTCGAAGGATGGACGCGGCAAACGCTGAGGATGAGGCCAACTGGCAAGATGGGGAGCAAAATATTGTTGATTTCTTGCACGACACATTTGAAGCGTTGCCAGAGGATGATGGCGATTCGGCGGCAGGGGATGGAGGTTGGTTGTCCAAATTCAATACAAATTTTAGTTGCAATAATTTTCCCACAAATCGCAACCAGTCGAAGCCAATCCCGAGTTGGAAGAGCATGTTAATCGGCCATTCCCAATCAATCAGGAACTCCGACACCGGCCCAGGAATCACCTGTTGGCGCCATACTTCTGCAACCTGTGCCGCGATTATGTCCGTGGAGGGGTAATCACCATTTGTGGGCATTTATTCTGCTGGACCTGTTTGTGGGCCGATCTGCACAATCGTGTGATGCCGCGTTGTCCGCGCTGCATGCGACGCCTGCTCCTTCACGAGGACATTATGCCGTTCCTGGGCGAGGGACCCAATGCCGGACCGGACGATGCAAATATTGTAGCTCAGCCAGGTGACGTGCCACGCCCGTCTGGCCTGTATCTAGAACACCAGCAATATCCGATGTGGTTCGCCGTGCACACCTACGAGGAGCTGCATTTTGCCGGCGCCAACGGGGGCGAGCGGAATCTCTCGGTGATCGTGCAGCGCATGCATCAGGACTATCAGCGCCCCATGGACTGGGTCAAGTTTCTACAGTGGTTTCAGTTGGGCTGTGCCCTCGGCATCTTTTATCTATGGCTGTACATAATGTCCTTTTCAGATTAGTTTTCGTATAATTCCTATGTAGATGTGTGTACTCGCATGTGGATAAATGGGCAGTGCCATGAATAGTTACAAATTGTTGTGAGGTTTTTAGTTGTTGCACGAGTGCTCTCAATAAATTCAAATTATTAAACAATTTGCTTAAATTTGCATATAATTTATTGTTAATTTCTTAGCTTTGGTTCCGCTCCAAATACCTAACTATTTCATGAAGCGAAGACGACATCAAAGTTTCTTCAAGAAACAACAACTAACTTTTGACAAAGGAAGCGGCTTGGCTGAGTTTAGTGCAGAGGGTCGGGGCAGCAGCAGCTGGCTGACCAGCTAAAACAAAGAGTTCAATGGGCATTCGGGTTAATCCCGAACTTATACCGGTGAACTTTGCCGTCAAGTAAAATTAGCTTCGTCGTGTTGGTTTTAAAGATAAATCATTTTGTAAAGTAAAAACTTAATTTAACCATCATTATGAATATGTATTAATCAAATGTTTTTAACTTTCAAAAGGTTAAGAAACATTGAGTGTGCAGTCTACACTCAGAAAAATTAAATGCTTAAGTTTGAATTTATCTTAAATTTTTACGACCACGCTTTGAATTCTTCAAGTTATAAAATATGGCACAATATGAATTTTAAACCAAAAAAAATAGCCCAAGCATGTATTCCAAATTCCTATGTATGTACTAATAGAGGCAGCTATGGACAACGCATAAACTTAGGCGTCTCACTTTTGCAAATTTGATAAAAGCAATAATTTTTCGACCTTTTTTAAATGTCGAGAGCACAACTGGCATTCAAATGTGTGCTTATACCAAATCACAAAGTTCTAGCTTTCAATTTTTGTGGAGAGGGTGCAGCTATCCAAAAAGTAAATTATTTCTTTTCTAGGAAGAAGAATTAATCGAGGCTAATCGAGCATACAATGTGGTATATCTAGCTCAGATAGTTTTTGAGTTACGCTTAAATTATCAAGTCTCAAAATCGATTTTTATAAATATTATGAATATGAAATAGGGTATCGATAAGAATTGATAACATTTATTTTTTTTTATTCAGAGGGACCAATTAACTTAGCTTAATCAACTAAGCTCGACGTCCAGATACTTAAAATTTATATTTTATGGGTTCAAGCACTCCTTCTACCTGTTACATACACATGCACAAAGCCAATATACCTTTTCTTACTCATTTTCAACGGTAAGAGGATATAAGAAATTTTTTGGGCGCCTTAAACCTACATGGTAAAATAAAAAAAATTTTCAAAAAATAAAAACAATATTTATATAATAGTTATTATTTTTGAACCTATTACTATTTATGCTCATAATTTAGGGTATGTACGCACATTCAACAACGTTGCTTTAGGCAAATTATAACCTAATTTAATGCACAAATATTCATATTGTCAGACTACTCTAAGCAGTTTTGTATTGCTCTTTTTTTTTATAATTACAACTTTTTGACTCGGTTATTCTAAGTGCTGAAAATGAGTAAAGCTTTTTTCAACATTTTGTTAACGATTAAAGATATTAAGGAAGACTAAAGAAGAAAAATTTGAACTATCTGCAGTTGGCCAGCTGCTACTAATAGGGTGTGTAATTAGTCGATAATCCTTTTGAGTGGCATTTGCGGTTAACAATTAATACGCGGCTGTGCGGCCATCATTTGTCATTTCAATATAAATGCCCCGCGGTGGGACTCAATCTGCATACAGCTGGCTTCCGTGTTGACGGCCAATTTCATGGGATCCCAGTGCGATATTTATCATTAATTAAAAGAATGCTATAAAATCCTTTTTGCGGCCTGCGCAAAGTCAGTCGATGCAGTTGCGTTCAGGCTCAAGGATGCATTCTGTGAGGATGTTTTTATTATTTCAGCTTAAACATGCGCGTGTGTGCGTGCGTGTCTGCGTGTTTATGTGTAAAATGCATTAAAAATGAGCACTTGCCGAGGCGTCGGCTTTGGCTTTGGCTTTGCTGCAGCGCAGCTCAGTTGATTGACGACTTTTAAATTCCATTAAATTTATTGGAACTTAAGCCTCGACACCACCGACATGCTCCAATGGCTGCCATGCGGAAGAAGGGGCGGGGGCCAATCCTTATGCTTTATGAAAACTTTTGATAAAGCATTTAAATTGGTTTATCCTTAAGTTTGTTTGGCTGACTATCCCAGGTAGGTTTTGTATTATATCTTATGAAATGCTGATATTAATACAATTTTTGTGGCATGAAGTTATTTGTAGTTAAAAAAAAAATTTTTTTAAATAGGTTGCGTTTCTGTTCTACATTGACAATTATACAGCTCACTGAGCGCTATTACACCCTTATATACGCTCAAAAACAGTTTTCTATTGATGATCGATTTTCTGTTTACACATATTAAAGTCTATGCCCAACAGATCAAGATGAATACTTGTCAACATATACTTTAACGCACACTTAGTCTGATTTTTGAACACATTTTGAATTCTTAGCTGCAAATGCTTCGATTTGGAGGCTTTCTTAATACATTAAAGACAACGTCCGTCTGTCTTTTTCTATGCTAACTAGTCTCTCAATCCCAAAGCTAGCATCAGATAACCTTGTATAGGTCCTTCTGTTGCTGGCAGTGAATATGTTGGAAACGGAAGGAGCCCTATATCATAAAGCTGTATTAGGAATAATTGGTTAAAAATTAGGTTCTTATATGAAATTTTTTTGTTTGTTTACAAGAATTTATAAGTCTTCCTATGCTCCTGACATATAAGCCAAATCTAATCAATTTCGTACAACTATAGCATATAGCTATCATATAGGATAAATTGTTTGAAAAACTAGCTCATGCATAAAAAAAAGATATCTTTATCAAAAAAGCTAATACGAGCTTCAAAATCTTCATCACATAGAGTGTTTATTTTATTTTATATTTTTTAATCTGCTCTCTGAGCTTCTCGACACTAAAATTGTATTTTGGCTTGTTTTGGAAATTGTTGGAAATCACTAATCATTCTTTCAAGTTGTTTTAGCCATTTGAAGCTATTGATTTCTCATTTCGAGTTGAATAGAACTTAAAATTTAAGCAGGCATTGTAAATATGCAGCGCAAATTAAGAGAACTTGACGCAGCTGTCACCAACACAAACAGCGCATCAACAGCAGCTCCAGCACCAGCACCAGCAGCTGCAGCAGTTGCAGTAGCAGTAAAAGCAGCAAATGCAGCTGCAACGTCATTAAAATCTTCCGCTGGCTGCCCAACAAAGCGCAGGCAAATTGCTTTGAGGATTGTGGGCTGGAGTGGGCCAGAAGAAGGTCTCGAGGTGTGTGTGTGCGTGCGTGTGTGGGCAAGTGTGTGAGCGTATGTTTAGCAATTTTTAAGTCCAAAATTACATGAGCTTTGACTGACATTTGCCCAAGTTATGCAGTTTGGCAACGTGACGTATGCGTAATTACAGTCAAACTTGCTCCGAAGACTAGCTGCGAGAGGGACCATGGGTGATGGGAAAGGGGGGGGGGGGGGGGGGGGGGGGCTTGCCCAGCCAGACTATCATGCCACATCATGCCACATTTTCTAGCTCATAACCAGGGCCAATGCCACGCCCCTTTACATTCCGGAAGGCAGCTAAAGCTGTCACTGCAACATTTTGTCTTTGCAGCTGCAGTAATTTTCATTTCAATTATAGCATCTGTCGACATTTGTAAATAGCGTAGGCGTTGTCGAGGGGCTGGTGGAGCAAGGCAAGTGGGGAGCGGATGCCACATCGGTTCAACGGTAAATGCGGCCTTTGTGCATTACATAATTACAGCTGTGTTTGCATTGCGGCGAGCAACCACCAGGGGCGATTTCCTATGGTGACTACCTCTAATGATGAGCCATTGTCTGGCTTAGTTATGAGACTCTCTCTGCATAGGATCAAGCGGGCGGTCGAGGGGTGAGGGGCTGGTGCGAAGTGTAATTAGATCAGTTAAGTGTGATAGCAGTATGGGGGAAATTCATATTGCAACATTCAATGCGAATTTGTTGAGAAAAATAAACAAGTTATTTAAGAACTAAAAATGCATAAATCATGAATGGAAATTCTAGACGGCACAAAAACTTGAAGTGTTTTGCTTACTTTTATGCTTTATTTTCTAAAAATACATTGACAACTTCTTGGCTGACTATGCTCTCAGTTTTATACGTCTGTGTCGCATTTGTGCAAATGCCATGCACCACGCACGTTTCCGTTTCCGGTTTTTGGGCATTTGCAGGCGTTGCAATTGTCGCTTGCTGCTGTTGCACTGTGTGGGCGTCATAGTCTGGCGCACATGGTGTATACGTTATGCATAACTAATGGCTGCCTCAGTATATTGTTTAATTTATCAAGCATGAATTATTTATGCATAGTATGTCTATTTCTGTCTGTCTATGTGCGCTTGTGTGTGTAAAACAGAGTGCCCAATGAAACTTGCAACTTGAGCTTTGAGCTACAGAGTTTGCTGTCCAATTTATGCACGAATTCAAATTTATAGTCCAGCAAAGTTGTTGTTGCTGCCATAATAAATGGTATCGAGTTCTATCGAATTGCTGCAGGTTAGCGCTCTCCAATTTCAATTAAATTTCGTTATGCAGGTGCTAAGTGCTTCAATTTAGATTTACTTGGCCTGTTGAATTTCCACATGGAAATGTTTGCTCGGGCTGAAAACAAATGTGGCTAACGAGCAGCCGCAAGAGTCTATAAACTTGCTGCTTGATAATTGCTATGGCAAAAGGCGAACCAGCAAAAGTTGTTAGTTGAAATGGCAAAAAACCAGGCAGCAGCAGCAGAAGGAGTGGCAGGTGCCGCAGCCAGCAGCCAAAGGAGCCGGAGGAGTGCAATAGATTGTGTCGACACAATGCACGTCTGAGCAGGAAAATACAAAAGAACTGTGCCACAATGCATGCTACACACACACATATGGCTAACGAGCTGCGGCTGAGTATATCATTCAAAACACGCAAGCCTGGTACACACACACACACACAGTCACAGCTCTTAACTCTCAGCTTACATCCAACATTTCTGGGGACTGAGCTGACACCTTGGTGCGGCCAGCAGAGGCTCACTTAAAGCCATATTGTGTATAGATAACGTGTCTATTCAGACGAAAACTGATATGACGACAAAAAC